TGGTGGGTCAGGACGGGGTTGGGAGACTGGATGTGGTTCTGGGTATCGGCGGGGGGCTGATGTGGGGGGGCTGGATGTGGTTCTGGGTATGGGCAGGGGGCTGATGTGGGGCCCGGGAGGGTTTGGAGGCGCTGGATCTGGCACTGGGTATGGGGCTGGGTATGAGGCAGGGACCTGGGTATGGGGTTGGGGGGCTGGGGAAGGATTAGAGGAGCTGGATGTGGCTCTGAGTATGGGACTGTGGGCCTGGGGGGCTGATGTGGGGCAGGGGAAGGCTTGGGGGCCTGGCTGTGGGTGTGGGGCTGGTTATGAGGCTATGGGGCTGCTGTGGGGCAAGGGAGGGCTTGGGGGGGCTGGATGTGGGTCTGGGTAAGGGACTGGGGATGGGGCAGGGGGCTGGTTATGGGGTTTTAGGATAGGGAAAGGTTTGGGCTGGGGATGGGACAGGGGGCTGTGTATGGGGCTGGGGGACTGATGTGGGGCTGGGGAAAGTTTGAGGGGGCTGCGTGTGACTCTGGGTGTGGGGCTGCTATGGGGCAAGGTAGGGTTTGGGCGGGCTGGCTGTGGCTCTGGGTAAGGCACAGGGTATGGGGCAGGGGGCTGGTTATGGGGTTGTAGGATAGGGGAAGGTTTGGGGGGTGTGGCTGTGGCTCTGGGTATGGAGCTGGTGTGGGTCAGGGGCCTGGTGATGGGGCTGAATGCTGAGTATAGGGCTGTGGGGTTTCTGTGGGAGGTTGGAGGGCTGGATTTGGGGCAAGGGGCTGGGTATGGGACATCTGTAGGGTTGAAGAGCTGACTGGACAGTGGGACTGGCTGTAAGGGCAGGGGACTGGGCAGGGGGATATGGAGTTGCTTTGGGGCAGGGGAGGGTTGGGGGTCTGGCTGTGGCCCTGGGTATGGGGCAGGGGGCTGGATATGGGGCTCAGGGGTTGTTGTGGGGCAGGGGAGGGTTGGGATTGTGGCCATTTGGAGCTGCTGTGAGGGAGAGGGCAGGTTGTGAGGCAGGAGTGGGTTGGGGGATCTGGGCTACTTTGGAACAGAGGCAAATAGACTCAGGATACTCTGGGGTAGGAAAAGGACATGGTAGTGGGATTGGGGTCAGTGGAGGGCAGGAGAGAGTCAGGGTGGTGGGACTGGGACCGCTGTGGGACAGGGAAGGGTCAGGGTGGTGGGACTGGGACCGCTGTGGGACAAGGTGGTGGGGCTGGCTCTGCTGTGAGAACCCCCAGTGCTCCCAGCCGCAGGCAGGGGCTCAGCGCCCTCCCCTCCTCCCTGCAGGGCCGAGTTCAGGGCCGAGGTGCTGCAGAAGAAGCGGGAGGAGCGTCTGGGCGGGGAGAACTCCGCGGAGCTGCTGGAGGAGCACCGGCGCCTGATGGCCTGGAATGACGAGGAGAACGCCCGGCAGCGGGCACGAAGGTCAGCGGGATCCACTGCCCGGCATGGCTTTGGCTTCTGCTTGTGCAGATCTAAACTCAGTTAGAGCCAGGCTTAATTTTTATGAAGACCCTTGACCTAAATCTTGACCTTTTTTAATAAATCTGCCATCGCAGCGTTTCCTGCGCCTCTTGAGGCTTGAGGGGTGGGTTAAGGGGCTCTGGGCAGCTTCCTGATCTCCTGAGGATGGGAGTGTCACCTCGTTCATCAGGTTTTTTGTTTTCCTTTCTGTCTGGCAGAGAGGAGAGACTCAGGAAAGAGGCGGAGGAAGAGAAGAGGAGGAAGTTGGAGGTCGCGGAGAAGCAGGCCAGGAAAATGGAGGCTTTCATGAAGGAGAAGGAGCAGGAGGTTCTCCAGCTGCAGGTAAGAGCAGCCGGTGACTCCTGGGGGACAAGCTGCCAGCAACCCCTGCGAGGGATTTGCTGGCAGCCTGTGGGAGCCATGTGGAAGCCGTGGGCTTGTTTTCCAGAGATCTTTCACTTGGGAGAGTGTGTAGCTGGTAGCAAGGTGTTGGCGCCTTCCAGGGGTGCTGACAGCGCGTGGATGGGAGAGAGGCCGAGCGAGAGCTCTGGGAACGGGGCGGAATAATCCCTAGGGATAATCCTGAGGGAGTATAATGCTTGTCCTTGGTTCAGGAGGAAGCCAAAAGCTTCATCACCCTCGAGAACCTGGACGCGCGGATCGAGGAGTGCCTGGACAACCCGCGCAACTACAACTTCGCCATCGACAAGGACGGGCGGGTCGTCAAGCGTACGGTGCTGTCGTAGCAGCCCCAGCATGGGGCTCCTGGCCTGCTTTTGTGCCCAGAGCCTCCTCCCCAGAAGACCTGGAGTTCTTCTTTTTAATGTATAAATTGACCACGGAAGTGGTGGAGAAAGGCCGCGGGGTCTGGCTGTGCTGCTTCCGAAGGGCGAACGCCGGCGGGAAGGGGGGTGAGGGGGAAACTCGGGCTTTTTGGAGGCTCCAGCTGCCTGGCTCAGCCCTGTGTGGCTGTTGCTGTGCCTGTGATTCCACCTCCCACATGTTTGGATCCCTCCTGCCTTCACACACAGCATGTGGGGAGAGAAACAGGAGCAGTCAGGAGGCAGATCTTGGCTCTCAGCTCTGTGCTGTCAGCCCCTCTGGATGCTTCCGAAGGGAAATGAGGGCTGAATGGATTTTTAGAGAACACTGGCCCTCCTCTTTTTTTTGTTGTTGGGTGAAAGAATTAATTATTCTTCCTGATTTCTGCTGGGCTGGGAGGACCTGTCATCCCTGGTCACGCTTTGAACCCTCCTTTGCACATCCCTTGGTGTGGCTGAATGAGAAAATATGTCTGGATTATCTGGAATTTTTGGTGTCTCCTTATTCCCCACCTTCAGCCTTATTTTACTCATCACCTGGGGTTGAAGACGTGGATCAAACTGTAATGACTCCGGGTGTTCTGGGTTGTTGGGGTCTTGCAGACTCTCAGCTTTGCCCTAAAACTTTTTAGGTTCAGCCAGAGCCCAGGCTGACTGACCACAGGTCCCTCTGCCCTCCCTTCCTCAGATAATTGACATGAAATCCTCGCTTTTTACCTCCACTTTTCCTAAAAATGTCTTTTTCTCTCCTCACGAGCCCGCACCTAAACCAGGCAAGAACACAAAAGCCACAGACTTCTTTTAGGGTTGTTTTTCTGTACAAGTTTTATTTCTAGTTAAGCTCATCACTCCAGGCTGAGTCACAGCTCTCAGCTCGTCTGTTCCCAGCCCGAGGCCAGGCTGGGACAGCGGGATGGATACGGGATCCTGCAGGTTCTGTCCTGGATGGGCTACACAAACAGCATCTCCTGGTCGCAGGATGAGTCAGCCCCACAGCCCTCTGTGAGGGGAGAGAGGGGGGAGTGTGGTGGGAAACCAGACCCCCCAAAACAGTCCTCACAGATCTGTGAAGTGGCCCCCAGGAACCCCCCAAACCAGTCCCCAGAGACACCCCAAACCCTCCCCCCTGAAACAGCCCCCAGGGACCTCCCAAACCAGCTCTCAGAGATCCTTGAAACAGTCCCCAGAGACCCCCCAGACCAGCACCCAGGGACCCCCTGAAACAGCCCTTGGGGACCCCCCAAACCAGTGCCCAGAATTCCCTGAAACAGCCCTTGGAGACCCCCAAAACCAGCCCCCGGGGACCCCGTGGTTCTGAGGTTTAATGATCTCGTGCTCCCACCATGTGCCCTGGCATTTCCTGGGATTGGTAGTGGGATCTCTGGTAGTTTAATTTAGGGAGGAGGTTGGGATTTTTGGAAAACTCATGAAAGCAGGAAGGGCCATGGGTTGCTGTACCCTGCAGGAGTGCTGCCATGCCCCACAGGAATCCCGCACTTGCTCAGCCCCCAAAATTAGGTTGCTGTCTTCTTCCCTCCTGCCCCAAAACCTCCCTGAAGGGTCTGATATCCCTTCCCTGGGATCGGGATAAAATCTGCCTGGAGCAGGATGGCCCTGGCTTTTAGGGGCGATGAACTGACACATAAATGGGACCAAGACAATCCCCTTGGGCATCATCCCCTCTCCCACTGTCCTGTATAACCCTGAATTCCCTCCCAGGTGTGCGAGGACCCCGTGACAGGAATCCCGGGAGTTCCCAGGACTCACCGGTGCTGCAGCAGATGCCGGGGGCGGCGCAGCTCCCGCCGCTGCCGCAGGGTTTGTGTCCCGACTCGCAGGGGGTGGGCAGGAAGTTTTCCTCCTGGCAGCGCAGGGTCTCGGAGGTGCCGAGGTAACAGCCCAGCTCCTCCCCGCAGCAGATGTTGGGCCCGAAGCAGTGGCCCTTGTTCCGGGGGCCGCAGGGCAGGCACTGCTCGGGGGAGAGGGGAGGGGGAAGAAGGTTGGGAAGAAGGGAAGGATGGGGTTAGGGATGCTCCAAACCCGCCAGGACCTACCTTCCTGATTTCCATGTCCATGACGGCACGTTTGCCCCCGATGGGGCAGTTCTGGATGTAGCAAGCGGAGGAGAGAGCCAGGAGCCCCAGGAGGCAGAGGGCCAGAGCCTTGCAGGACATGATGGCGGCGGGACGGGGAGAGTTTTTTGGATGCTCATCCCAACCACTGCCCGTGTATTTATAGTCCCCGCTCCTACTTAGGGATTCTGGGCACCGGCGTCACCCGTGCTCCTTAAAAACCACAAGGCATTGCTTCCCACACCGGAGGGCTCGGTTAATAGCCAGAGGTCAAGGACGTGAGGGCAAGGCCAAGGTGTTGGTTTGCTCCTCGGTGACGGCTCCGACGGCCGCAGGGGGAACGTGCGGAGGCTGCCGATGGAGTTTGGGGCTCAGGGCCCTTCCCCGCCAGCCCTGCTGAGCTGTGGCATGTCCCTCCATGTCCTATTGGGAGCCCCTCTGGCATGGGGAGGGTAGGGATGAAGGAAGGCAGCTGCAGGTGGGATGTGTCCACTCAGGAGCAGGGTGAGAGGGGCATGTGCTTCCCTTGGCTTCAAATCCCTTCAGATGGGTAAAAAACGAACCCATATCCTCCTCTGGGATCATCCACAAGATGTGGGGTGGGAAATGCCCTTGTTGGTCCTGTCCACCCATCCCTGCCTGGCCTTTGGGGGATGCTCAGCACTGGGTTCGTCCCACTCTGGGACGATGGTGACACCCAGCCCATCCTCACCCACCCAACAGCACCACAGCCACTTGAAAACACCAGACCTCCTGGGCAAAGACCTGAAATCCCAAACTTCCCCATTGTTTCTCCTTGGAGCTGCGCATGGGGATGGGATGTGTTGCCCTGAACCACACCATCAGCACACGAAGGCTTCTCGAGGATGAGACTGAGGACTGACGCAACCGCCCAGGGTCCTGCTCGCCCCAGCCCCTCACCTTCGTTATCCCAATTAGGAGCTTTCCCAGCTTGAATAAATTTCCCTGCTGTGGACAACACTTTCTGTCCATCAAGATCATTACCCTGCACTGGCTTAATTTGGAATTAGGCAGCCCAGAGGCCGACAGCCGTGACCTTTTCCCATCCCTCTGGCTTTGCTTCCAAATCCGCCACTTAGCGCGTCCGGCGCGAGGGCGGCCAGGTCCCTGTCACCCACCCGGGGTCAGTCCTGCTCCCTGGGGACAAGCCAGGCACTGGGATCCGTGTTAATGGGTTGGAAATGGGGCTCAGCACCTGCCGTGTGCTGTCCCAGCAGCTCAGCTCCAGCTGCGGCACAAGGTGGAGGGGGGGAATTGCCATCCTGGAGCTCCTACGGCAGCTCAGGGGGTTCCCAGACCCCCACAAGATGTGTACTGGGAAGACAAGTGGGGAAAAAACCCACCAATTATCAGCCCTTGGTGCTTCCGGGGACTCAACACCCTGATTTTGAGGCTTCCGTCAGCTGGAGCATCATCCTGGCTCAGCCACATGTCCCCGGTGCTTCAGGAATGTTGGGGTTCACATCCCGCATCTGGGAACAGTCTGAGTGCCAGAGCAGGGCTGAACAACCCAATTCCTTCATCTCAGCATGGAGCCCCCTGTCCATGCTGGTGTGGCCCCTTTTCTGTGAAAAGTATTACAGAAATGTGGTCGTCTACAACACTTTTCCAATGATTTTGGGGTGATTTGGGGTTGCCCACATCCCCAGGACTGGGATGAGGTGCTGGCTGCAGGGAGCAGGGGCTGGATCAATCCTGCACCCCCTGGCACGGTGCTGGGAGCTGGCAGGATGGATCCTGCCGGTGTCAGGGAGCTCCACCTCCTCGGAGGTGCCACCTCCCTCGGGGACGCTATAAAGGACCAGCTGTCCCCTGTGCTCTGGCCAGTCCCAGCCAGGAGAGAGCTCGGAGCAGGGAGACCACTGGGTAAGACCTGGGAGAGAGTGGGAAGGGGGTTGGGACAACAGTACCCCAAATCTGAGGGGGTGACGGTGGGATAACGGGGAGACTGATCCTGCCTGTCGGTGTCCAGAGGGGACCAGTTTGGTGAGCGATGATGGGGAAAGATGTCACCAGCCCAAGGGGGTATTTGGAGCTGGGAGCCCAAACCTTTCTGCTCTGGGGGGGTGGGGGTGGGGTTGGGTGCTTTTTCTTGCTTTTTATCATTTTCTAGTAGATGATGTGCTGGTTCCTGAAGGCAACAAGACTCCGAATCTACCCCAAAGAGGGACTTGGCCAAGAGGTAACGTGATGGTGGCACATCCCAGACATCCCCAGTCTCCCGGGGCTGGGGGTGCTGGGAGGCTGAGCACCCTTGGGTGCTGCTGGGGGTCCTGGGAGGGACTTGACAGCCAGATCCCAAAGTCCAGCTCTGCCTGAGCGCTCCTGCTGCAAGAACGAGGCCAAATCCTGCACCCAGCTCAGCCAAACCACCCGTTCTCCTCGGGGATTTGGGGAAGGGGGATGAAACCCCTCCACAACACCCCCATCCCTGATCCCCAGACAGGTCCCCTGGAGCCCCGTGACCCATCCCCAGCGCCCAGGACGAAGCCACCACAGTGCACGAGGACTTTTATTGGGTCTCGTATGTACAGTGCCGGGGTGGGGGAGTCGGCGAGGGTAGGGGGAGTCGCCCCATGCCCTGGCTCAGAGGACGGGGAGCTTGCCCTGCTGCTGCTGCCGGTTCGCCAAGTGCATGAGCTTGAGGAGCAGATCTCCAGCCGAGCCGTCCAGCACCGTCAGGTTCTTCTCCGCCTCCTCCTGAGCCCCGTCCCCGCCCTCGTCCGGGCAGGCGGAGTCCATCGAGCACGTGTCTTCAGCGGGAGGCAAAAGGTGGGGATGGAACAGGTTATTGAGGACCCCGGGTGGTTTATTTTATGGGTGGGGAAGGGGTGGGTGGCAGCGGGGGCCCCCGCACAGCTTGTGCTCCAGTTTTGTGCCTCCCCGTTAACCAGGAATGGGGTTGGACGAGGTTTTTCCCTGGTGCATTGGGGAGCCTGAATGTGCCTGACTGGGAAAAAGCTTATGGTGGTGGGTCGGGAAGGAGTTCCGAGACCCATCCTTTAGAATCAGGGAATGGTTTGGGTTGGAAGGGACCTCAAAGATCATGCAGTTCCACACCTTGCCATGGGCAGGGACACCTTCCACTAGCCCAGGTTGCTCCAAGCCCTGTCCAGCCTGGCCTTGAAGACTTCCAGGGATGGGGCAGCCACAGCTTCTCTGGGCAACCTGTGCCAGGGCCTTCCCACCCTCACAGCCAAGAATTCCTTCCTTATATCTTCCCTGAATCCAACTATCCAAAAATGCCTCCAAACGGGGCCAACACCGCACCCACTCCCCGCCTCAGTTTCCCCTTTGGAAGGGAAAACCCCGACAGCAGACGAGGCTTAACTTGAGTTCCGCCCCACGCCCCTGCGACCCCCTCGTGGTCCCCAGACACCCCAAACCCTGCATCCCACCACCCCAGCGGTCCCAGCAGCCCCGTTACCGGCGGTGCAGCAGATCCCGGGCGCGGCGCAGCGGCCCCCGGAGCCGCAGGGCTGCCCCCCGGCCTGGCAGGGGGAAGGCAGATAGTCTTCCTCGGCGCAGCGCCGCGTCTCCGCCGTGCCCAGGTAACAGCCCAGCTCGGCGCCGCAGCAGATCCCGGGCCCGAAGCAGTTCCCTCTGTTCCCGGGGCCGCAGGGCATGCACTGCGGGAAGGAGCTGCCTGAGTCCCCCGTATCCCCCCCCAAAATAAGGGGCGGACCCTCTGCAGGGGGGACCCTACACCCTCTTGTGTTAGAAAGCAGCTCCCCACCATCCCCTTTTCCAGCCTTTGGAGGTGTCACGCTGGCGCAGGGTGAACCGGCTTGTCCCTGCCATGCTGCGGCGCTGGCCCCACTTTGGGGAGTCCCCACTGCCCTTCATGTCCTCCCTGTCCCCTCTCCACGCGCTGTCCTGTCCTCCTGTCCCCCTGCTCCCCTCATCCAGCGGGATGCTTTGCTGCGGCCGAGTTTGAGCTTCTCCTCGAGGTGCCGACAGTATTTCGGGTGCTCGTTCCTCCGCCACTCACCCTTGGGCACGTCCCCCAGCCATCCCAAAAAACCCTCGCTGCTCCGGGGAGTGTGGCACGGCCAGCGGTGCCAACAGGTGCCGAGTAGCCTCCGCACCCCGCAGGGCCGCTCTGCCCCCTCCAGAGCCCCATCCCGCGCCCCAGGCTCCCATCCATCCATCCCATCCATCCATCCCGTACCTGTCGGAGGGCTGTGTCGGCCAGCGCCCGCTTCCCGCCCCGGGGGCAGTTCTGGATGTAGCAGGCGGAGGACAAGGCGAGGAGGCAGAGGAAGGAGAGGGGCAGCGAAGGCTCTGCCATGGTGGAGGGTGCCCGGGGCTGTGCCACTCGCGCTGTGTCTGGCCCCGTGCTGGGAGAGCTCCTTTTATGCTGCCATCGCTCCTTCCCAGGGGAGGAGGAGGAGGAAGAAGAGGGATGGGTTGTTGTTTTTTTTTGTTTTTTTTTGTTGTGTTTTTCTCTCTCTTTTTTTTTTTCCTTTCACCAAATCGCATCCAAGAGAATCTGTAATTGAGATGATTCAGTGCAGCAGCTCTCGGGGCTGGTGAATTCCACCCGTTGTTGCTCCGAGGGGCACGTGCCAGCTCTGGGATAGCTGCTGGCCCTGGGATGGGCAGTCCTTGGGAAGGGGACCTGGATGAGAGGGTGCAGGTTTAGGGAGAGATGCTCCTTCAGAAGATGCCTGTCCGGGGAGGGATGCGAATTTAGAAGGTGCTGCCTGGGGAGGGATGTTGGTTTGGGAACAGATGTTCATTCAGGAGATGTGGGTTTGGGAAGGATGCAGATTTTAGGAGGGATGCAGGTTTGGGAGTGATAGTGGTTTGAAGGGATGCAGATTTTGGGAGGGATGGTGGTTTCAGAGGGATGCTGGCCTGGGAGTGATGCTGGTTTGGGGAGGGATGAAGGTTTGGCAGGGATAGTGGCCTGGGAGTAATGCTGGTTTGGGGAGGGATTAGAGTCTGGAAGGTGCTGGTTTACAGGGAGTTGTTTGTTTTGAGGATGCTGGTCTGGAAGCAATGCTGGTTTGGAGGGATGCAGATTTTGGGAGGGGTTCTAGTCTTGGAGGGATGCTGGTCTGGGAGTGATGCTGGTTTGGGAAGGGATGTTATTATAAAAAAAGGTCTGAAGGGATGCTGGTTGGGGGAAGGTTGTTTGTTTGGAGGATGCTGGTTTGGGGAGGGATCCTGCTTTGGAGGATGCTGGTTTAGGGAGGGATGTTGATTTGAAGGATGCTGCTTTGGGAGGGATGCTGCTTTGGAAGATGCTGTTTGATTGATGCTGCTCTGGGAGGGGATGCTTGAGGGAAGAGATGGTGTCAGGGC